ATAATATATAGAGAGATTTTTTTTTTTTGGCACCCAAACACAGCAAGAACTGTATACAGACCATCAGAAAAAGGAATGCATACTATGAACAAGATTTCATTACCACATTGTCCTAATAATATATTGGGCCAAACAAGGTGAGCGAGTTGAACTTCAGGATTGTTTCTTGACACAATTAGCGTCCAATGTTAGTCCTAGATTTATGGGAAAGACTTCCTTCCAATTTAAATACAAATATTGCCTTTGGACATGTAAAGATTGCAGGGCACAGCTGTGGCCACCGAACACACTCGGCTCACAGGAAGTGAAAAGGATTAAATCACTTAGGGGGAAAAAAAGTGAATCTGTGTCGTGTTTTCACATTCTCAGTGAAAAGCGACACCTGCTCTGTTCAACTGGAAACACTGGTTACATCTGCTTCAAGACCTCCTTCAGGGCTTTTACCCCAGCATAGCTTGAGAACTGTTTGGTGAATATTTTCCCTCTGCTCATTGCATGATGGGCTGACAATTCAGACGAGAGCTAGAAGATGCTTTCCAGAAGAAGGTCGGAAATGGCCGACTCCTTTTATCACTCAATATAGGTTTCCTTGAAGTGTATTTCCACTTCTGCACCTACTTTAAGTTTGTTACATGTTCCCATTGCCTACAGACCCAGGCACTGGGAAAAACACTTGCTATCCCTTGGTCTCGGGAGCAGTCACTAACAGCTTGCCATCTTCCTCCACAGCAAGCAGTTTCTCCCTGCTCTGCCCGCTCAGCGTTCGAGTAGCGGCAAGCAGAAGTGACATCATCAGCCACAGAACAAGGCTTGGACTAAAAGGCACCGCCCTCCTCTAGCCATACATTTGCCGGCGGAGCAAACACTCTTGTACTGTCATCACTACCTGGCCGTGTTACCACCTTAAGAGAAGGGAGGACGAATGGACAGGGTCACAATCAGGAGGACTTCGGGGGTCAACTCCCCCAGGGAAAAACGGGGGCAGAAGGACCCAGAACCATAAAGAGGGGGAACCTCTAGAACCAGAGGACAAGACCCCGCTCGGACAAGATTGGACCACCCCAGCATTACTCCAGCAGAGCCGCCAGAAGGGAGAACGCTGAGCACAAGGCCATCCGGTCAGGAGAAGGAAACATACCGTACATGCCGATGACATGGATGGTAAGAAACACAATCAAAAACTGAGAGACAAGGGGGTGGGAGGGGTCTTTAAAATTCTTTGTTTCCTGTAGATGTAAGGAGCAATCGTTTCTCAGGTTGCTGTAATGGATGATAATTGGGGAAATTTAAAACTGAAACCTTAAAAGTGTTATTAAAGCTAGCAAGCAGTAGATATATGCAAAAAGTAGTTTTTTTTAAAAAACGCTTTAACAGCGGTTTAAACTTACCTGTGTCTTCCTCGCACGCTCCCGTCCGAAAATGTGAAACTGCTCGGGCCGCCGCAAAGCATCTTGGGGCGGGCGCAGTTCACATTTTCGTCCGCGACGCGAGGAGAGACACAAGGTAAGTCTATGGACGGCGTGCACCCGCATGCAGACACCGTGGGTCAGGAAGTGCCAGCAAGCACAGAGGAGTCAGCGCTGGATCGGAGACTTGCCGCAGCGCTGGAGAGAAGGCTGAAAACTACAGGAAAGAAGAAGATAAAATCGGATTAAAAGACATTAAAGTGCTTTACTTAACGTTGGAGTGAGGGGGAAAAAAAAATTGCCTTTAATGTCACTTTTACTTTTTAGATGCTCTTTTCTGAAAACGCCAGGACAGAAAAATACTACTTTGTTTCCTCTCTCAGGGGGCTGGTGAACGGTCTTCGGAATAATTAAACCTGTTGGCACTTAACTTATTGTTCGGGGATGTCTGTCCTAACAAAGTGTTAAAAATCTCAAGGTATTGAATGTATGCACTTAAAAAAAATTGTCCCTCAGCCATACCTGCTCCAAAGAAACAGCTAAGAAGACAAGACAATTTTTACATTATTTTTAGGTATGGTGTGTGAATGGGAACACATGACCATATAGGTGGAGGTTCTCCAAGCTCACAGCAAACCTGGAGATACACATTCCAAATAAAGTGCCCGTGCTGCCTACAGCCAGATTCCAGCTACCAGGTTCTAGAAAAGGGAACATGATTCCTATGGCAACATTACTAGATCCCGTCTGCTACAATTTATATGAGCTACATGTACAGCCTTCTGAGAAAACCATATTGCCGCACAGCAACCACATTTTACTCTTCGCATTTCTAATGCAAGATAAAATGTAAAAGAATTTGGTTGTCTGCAACTTAGTTGGCAAACTGTGAGTTGCCTGTATAAATTGTGCCTAAGTCATGCGACCCACAATAAAATATTTAAAAAATGAGGCCTACCATTGCATTCCTCGGGAAACAATACTTCTAGTTGTACTCGTCTGCAGCATTGATTGAAGCGGACTTATCAAGGTGCTCAGCATTCAATCAACTAGAAATTACTCATATAGTCTGGACTTTAGAGTGAATACAAATTATCAGATCACTAACAGGAAAAAACATGAAGGAAGCAATCTGTCCAAGTGCAATCGCACTGCCAAGACCCAATTCCCAGACCGGGCAAATGTATCATTTTAAGATCAAAGAAAAAAAAAAGAAAAAAAAGTCATTTGCAGAGCAACCACGGACCTTTTCAGCAATGATGAGCTCCCCTAACACGGCTCTGTAGCTATCCCTTAGTCCGAATACTGCAAGTGATATTTGAACTACATCAATGTCACCCGTAATCTTCTATATATATATATACATACATTTGATTTTTTAAATTAGCACAGGCTAGGGTGCACTAACTGAAGGCACGTTGACCTCTGAAGATGTAGATGTATGGATAAAAGTAAACCTTTACTAAAGGGAAATATCCAGGCTGTCACTTCTGAATATACTCGCCACGCTGGTTGAAATCAATACTTCACCCTCACTGACCTGCAACAGGCATACAGATAAGAGTCTCTGAGTTCACACTCTCCAATTGTTTCTGGTCAGAGGGAGCCAGGACGATGGCAGTTTCTGAAGGAAGTTAGTTATGAAAGCCTAATCACTCCCAGGCCACCTTCACTGCAGGGATGAAATGCTTATTCGGTTAGGGGGGATAGGAATAAGGTAATTTACTTACCTTATTCCTTGTTGGCACAGGCTTCCTTATCTCCATGCAACTGGTCACCCAAAGCCGCTGCGCTGCCTGGCTGGTTGCAGCTCTCTGACTTCATCACATACAATGCAGTACCAGCAGCCTTGCATTGTACAGGAGGATGGCGAAAGCTGAACGGCATTCCAGGGCATCAGGCAGCAGAGAAATGTACCAGCTGCCGGGAGAGCGAGGAATAAGGGAAATATTAGTACTTACTCCTTTCTCCGTGGGCAAAAGAGCATTTAACACATGCAGTGCAGGAGGGAGCTCACTGCATGCGGAAATGTAAAAGAGAACTAAGGCCTAAACTTTTTTGTCCATAGTTCCCTTCAGGGTCACAGAAGAACATATACTAATGTCCTGCGGTGACCAAAAACTCAGTATATATCAGGCTATTGCCGAGAGCGCAGAGCCGCGCCGCAGCCGGAATGGATCCTGACAATACTGTCGAGATCCACCCCACTGGCTGGTTGACAGCTGGCTCTACCTAGCTAGAGCCAGCTGTGCCCGCGCCCCTCCCCCGTCCGTTCCTCCAGTCAGTGCTGGAGGATCAGAGGGAGCAGTATCCCTGTGGGGAGTTATGATTGACAGCCACTCTCTGCAGAGAGATTATCAGAAAGTGAGCGAGCAACGGTATGTGCTCGCTCACTTCCCGATCTATAGAGCCAACGTGTGACTATTTCAGTGTCACGGGTTGGCTTGAATTAGGGGGATGAGTATTCTTCACTCACTCCATAATTCTTTTTTAACTGCACCCAGAATGGGGCTTTACAGCTAGATTTTAAGCAGACATACAAGACACAAATGAATGAATGAATGAATGAAGCTCTGTATTCAATAATACATCATAAAATGTCTTTGTTTTTTTTTTTAAAAGCAGTGCAAGTACCTCCTTTCAACTTGTAGTCCCTGCACAGCAGAGCTCAGATGTGGAGAAGGAGAACCAAAGCAAGGACTCAGTCAGCTGTGCTGCAGTGCTTAAATGCTAACAAGGTACATGCCGATATAAGGAAGGACAGAATGACAAAGCGTTGGGCACATCAGCATGCAGCTTCTGATATCACTGTCCAGTCATAGGCTGGAAAAGGGACAAGACCTGTAAGTCATTAATCTGCGGCAGAAAAGAAACAATTCTCCTGCACTGTCAGAGAGGGGTGTGATGTGGGGAAGAGCTGTGTAAGTATCAGTGCTGGATAGAAATACAAATCCTTTCATTTATGTATTTAGCTGCTTGCCTGGAGTTCAGCTTTAACTGTGTGTGAGAAATGTAACACTCAGAGGGGACAACATACAAACTCTGTGAAGACAATGCCCCTAATGGGAAATGTAAAAATATCCCCTACTGA